TTTGGATACATTTAAAAACAAAACATCCTCAAAGTAGCCTGTTGACTCACTTCCCAGCAACCCTGATTTGGTATGGTAAGCTGTCAAAATTAGGAAAGAACCAGAAAAATGCCAGATTCACAGCAATGGGGGCAAAAACAACAGCCTTAACTTGGTAAGACCATAGTAAGAGATCGGGTCTGCGGCAGCAGGTCCTACATTAGCTGACATGCTGTTCCATAGTTTAAGGTTCTCATTAGTAAAGACTTGACATTCAGCCATCATTTAATTTATACAAGCAATTACAGAAACCTTCTTTCAGCGCTGGGGGTGGGGTGTATTTCACCTCGTCTACCAATCATTGCAGTTAGATAAGCGGGGATGAAACTTTCATTCTCGAGATCAATGCAAGGAGGAACTTTAAATTCTGTCCTAAACTTGAATGGAGATAAAAAATAAATAAATAAATAAATAAAAACAAGGAAACATCAACAGAACAGAGAAAAAGGGCCATAATTCAGGCTGAAGGCATTTCAGCTGAAACAAACTTATGTAAGCATGTATATTTCTTCTTGCATGTCCCCTTTGTTTTGCTCCATTTCCAACCTCCCGGAATCACATTTTGGATCCGTGGGGGCAGAAATGTAAACGTTGGCCACATTATTTTCTTTCAGGTAGAATCGTCCGTCCATCTTTTCCAGCATTACAGTGATAAAGTCAAAGTGATTGAGGTTTACACTGCAGGCATGTAAACAAAGTCATTGCACAGCTGCTAGAGTGTTTGCACACCAGCTCGGCGCTTGCCAAAAAAAGGTATCATTTATTTATACTACAGCTCACCTATGGAAAAATATTAAAAGCAAGCCCTGCACCCAGATCAGGCTGTAGCAGCCCCCTCAGCCCCTGCTAATCACAAGTTTATATATAGGATGGCTGCAAACCGCATTGAGAGACATCAAAGGAGTTCCCTGAAAATGGGAAGTAGTGAACATATATTTCTGGAAACAAAAATTTCCAGTTTATATTCACTAACTGGGTGAAAGTTGCTGGGCACGTTGATACAAAGATAACCCAAAGATTACGGATTAATCAACAGGGTAAATGACATTATATTATTTCATTATTGGAGAACTACATCAATCTGTTCTTATTAATATTAGGATGTCATCATAGTCTTGTTTGTAATCAGAGGTGCCTGGTCCATTGAGATACAGGACGTGGCACCTGCTCTATTTTTGAGATTAAATTATAAATAAAGACGTTGGCCTTTTGTACAACCAGTAACTTTGAAATAATTCACTGGTAATATGTTATTGTCATTTAAAAGCACATTTTCTCTCATCGTAACACTGTAAAATCTATCACCTTCTTTCCTCCTCATTTAGCCACCAACTACCACTGTTTGCAGCATTCGATGTGGTCCTAAGGAAGATCTTGGGGTCACTTTGACCGTTGCCTGTATGCGTAGTATGAGAGGCAGAGATAGCGGAGGAATTCTCTAGAATGCATAACAGTCTGCGCGGCAGTGTCGTTTAAGGAGATACTGGAAACAACAACTGCATTAAATCTATTCTGACTACTTTACATTTTGACCGGAGATTTTTATAATATAGAATCTGACATTTAACCATGACGTTTAACCATCTATCATCCGTAATGGCTTATCCAGCACCGGGTTGTGGTGAGCTTGGTGCCCATTCCAGGAAATATAGGGCACTAGGCATGGAGCACCATGGACAGGATGTACTGTGAGATTATTGATTTATTACTCAGCATCAGAACTCGGATTTCTTATATTATTAATAGGCTATGATGTCACGAAATTCACAGAAACATCACTGTCATGCAGTTTTCCTGGGTAATTCAAAAACGACAGTAATTGAATAATGACTATAATGATACGGATTTGCTTGAGAGATCTCATTTTGGACATCGGCCAGTCAGAGAGGAGTTCAGTGTGCTATTTGTGCAGTTCCAGTGACATGGTCGCAGTACCCTCCAGAATCAAGGAGGGGTCGAAAAAATAGTCT